TCACATAAAATAAAAAATTTATATCTTTATGTTTGAAGCCTGAAATGTGGCAAAAGGTTGAAAAGTTCAAGGGGGCCGAATACTTTCGCAAGGCACTGTACCTGAATGGCATTTTACCAAAAGGAAATCCTAGTTGCCACCTTGGTTGAACAGTTCAGTGTTGATCCGAACAACAATGACTCTTCTGATTGGGGGGGGGGATTTGGGTGATGCTCGTGGTTTTGACAGGGCTGCGATGAAACTGAACAACTGGGGGTTTCTGGGAGCAGCTGAAGTGCAGCAGCTGTCAGGGCTGGTACACAGCACACGTGAACATGAAGGGGGATTGGTGAGCCAAGAAAGCAGCCTCTACAAAAGCCTTTATCTCAAAATTATAAAATTCAGCTTTAACTGAACCATCTGGTGAAGAGAGGCCTTTTGTGTCCGCTTATCACTTCTTTGTGTTAAAACTGGAGGTCCCTATAGAAATAGAGAAATAGGCAGCAATGTTCCTCCTATCTTTTCTCCAGCTTTCAGAGCCCTGTCAAGACTTGGGATTGTGGGTAAAGGTCATTTTGCACAGATGCTGTCCAGAAGGAGTGTTGGGTAAAAAGGAGATGTCTCAAGCCTGCTTTCACTGGAGCACTGCATCTTTAACAGGGGAGTGAAATCATGCCTAAAAATAATCTCTCAGTGGAAAGGCAGGAGCTGTGTTGATAATTTATTTTGTTCCCATGGATGAGGAAAGCGAAAATGTTGCAGCAGGGATTCGGTGTGCCAGAAAACCTTGAATATGGTTCTCTCTCTCTCCTGTGAATACTATTTTTCCCCTTGCTGTGTTCTGTGGAGTTCATAGATATGTTGGAGTGTTTAGTTTGCCCCCTCAAGTGCCATTAGAGAAGCATGCTGGCAAGGACAGAAAGTTCTGGAAGCTGCCAGCTGTGGAATTGGGAGATGCAGAAGGGTATCTTGAATAACCACAGACCTGACCAGAAACCTGACCAAAAACTGTTACTTCTGAAGATGCACAAGTATAAGATGTGAAAATAAAAGGTGATGTTGCACAGGTCCACATTTCTTCAATTGTCTGTCCTCATGGAGTTAAAAGGAAAACAACTTTTTTTAACCAGTTCTTTGTTGGTTTTTTTCCTTCCCGGAGTCTTCAAAATTTGATGCTAGAGGTACTGAGCCCCTGCCGTACTGAAATGAAGACCTGTATCATGGAAATGAGACAAGGAGGAGCCTCCAACCTCAAATCAAAACGGCCACAGTTCTCTGTGGATTGCCTGGTGTCTTTACAGCAAGAGCTCAGAACAGCTGTGGGAAATCTGACACTTCCACTGCAAAAGAGGACGCCCATTTTAATATAACAAGGGCTAATGTTCCTGAGATTTAAATGTGTGGGTTTTTTTTTGTTCATCACAGAGAGGTTAGCAGCACACAAACCAGCACCCCAAGATGCAGGCAAACGGATACACTTCCCACCCAAAATGTAATGGCTTTTCCCTGCCTTTATCGTTCCAGGATAGAGTTCACAACCGATTTTACTTCCCTTTAAACAACAAGGACAAGCAGTGTGTGTTAGAAAGCCCTTGGTAAAGTATAAATTTCACTTTAAATTTCCCCACCCCTCCACACCATGATTCCTTAACAGACCAATTTCATTTTTCTCATTTTCTCCTTTTGGACTTGTGTGTTTACAAGCTGTACCTTTTAGCCTGAGACCAACTTATTTTTTTTTTTACATTGCCTGACATAGGAAGAAATAGTGATAACACAAGTGGTCAATATCATTTTTCAAACCAGCTCTGAAAGATGCAGTTCTGTACAGCAGCTCCCATTGGTCAGATCTGACTGTCGTTCCTCAGACAGGCTTGT